GAACATTTTCGTGCAGAGAAACTTACAGTTTTTGCGCGAAAAAGCCCTAATTCTACTGGACTAATTTTATAATTATTATATATTATTTATACTTACCGTCAAAACTAGTTGAGAAACTCATTTACAAATTTAGGTATTTTGTAAAATTTGAAATATATTTTTTTTTTATAATAAAATTATTTTATTATCAAAAATGTTTAAATACCCGGGAAAAAATTATATATATAATTGTATAAAATATAATTTAAAATAATATTATATAATTTTATATAAAACATTTTTTCCTGAGATAATATCTACAAAACCTCGATTTTTGCGCGAAAAAAAAACGCTTTTGAAAAGCTTTTGAAGTGCAAGCATTTTTAAAGCACTTTTCACGCGCATAATTATTTTTTAATCAGTTTAACTTGAAATCTGCCGAATTATTCACATGCAATAAAAGTGTATAAATGATAGCAGTTTTGGGAGGTGCAATTTGAAGAGCGCTTCAAAAGCGCTTTCCATGCGCTGCTGTGCTACATGGGTTATAACCACCTATACATATATTTGAAAGCACATTTATTGACAAAAGTGAACTGAGAATATGGATTTATATGTTTTATAATGCAAATATAAGTATATTTTCAGCATATGCGTATGTGACGAATCGTATAGTCTATTTTTTATAATAAAAGTAAACATTTTTAACAAAAGTAAACATTTTTTGTATATTACTTAAATTACCGATGAGATACTATTAAAGATTGTCGGTCCTGTGCAAATTTTCGTGATTATCGATGAGGCCGGGGGAGGGGGGGATAATTGAAGAACAATGACGTTACTGACAATTAATAAAAATTCATGATTATTAACATAAATATTTCGATAATACATTATTAAATTCTGATTTTCTAATTATATAAATAAGTAATGCATACTTTTAATATCTATATAATATCTTAAATATTGCCGAAAAATTACAATTTTTTCTCTGCAGTTATCATCTCTATTGATAATTAACCCTGTTATTATCACCCTAATAATAACATTAAAATCATAATTTTCAAAATCGAGTATTATTAAGTATTATTAATTTAAACTTATACATGTACATGTCTACGAAACTAATAAATGAAATTAGTATTACATTATTAGTTTCTTACTCTTAATTACTTAAATTTTAATAGGCACGCGAATTTCCATAAGCGATTTCCATATTCGACTGTCTTTAATAATATTATATATATCGATACATAAACTAACTTACAGTTTTTAAAGTTTGTCTAACTTACAGTTTTTAAAGTTTGCGATAAATCTTTAATTTTTATTAGTCAAAGTCCCACCATTACTTTGGACAAGTGCGCATCCGGGAATGTCTCGCCTTATATTCTTCCACCATGATACCGAGCTTACTGCCATGGCTGCGTTTGGAAACATCATTCGAATTCCGTGTATCATTTTATCCTTGTTTTTCATCCAATGGGTACGTTCAACGGATTTAATAGTTGAGAGAGTGCTCGCTGCTATTGATGTATTCTTCCGGATCTAAAATGTTGATTGAATAATCTAAAAGAATACATTAATAATAGCGAGCGCTCACTTATCTGTTGAATCCGCTAACGCAACCAATAGTTGCGTTCAGCAGAACATAGTTTTGCAACCGTTTTATGATTGTTTGCTGAGGTAGGACGTCTTAATCTAAAAGCATGACCTAATTAACGCGAAGAAAACTTTCAACAGTTGCAAAATAAATGTTCTGCTGAACGTAGTCAATGTTAAACAAGAATAAGATAATACACGATGATACACGGCAGAGAGAATCAAGGGAGAGTGGAGCGGAGAATATTCTCTTCTATGATTGATTCCGTCATTTATTATGCACTTCTGCAAATGCGTATATGTACATACACACAATATCAGTGCTGTACAATACTAGTGTGTGCAGCATTGTATGTTCTATCACGCTGCCATATCTTCTACTCACTCCAACCATGATGTAATCCGCTCTAGAATTTCTAGAATTACCAGAGTCTGGCCGTGCTCTAAAAATGGCGTGCGTGTCCGAAATATATATTTGTTTTCAATTGATGATATGAATGTATGTGCGTTCTCGATTGGTACTGCCATTGTGGGCACGACAATCATAAGAGAGGGATGACCACACTAGTTTTAGGGACTCCAGTCCGTTCCATTCTCCGTCTCCCTTGATTCTCCAACCTCCTCTCAGGATTGTGTTCAGATTCCTCATGAATGCATCCAGAGACCCAGAAAGCGTTCAGATTCCTTTTGAGTGCCTTTATTAGGCGCTTAGGTGAAACGTTCAAATTCCTATTCTATCCACTCGAGAGGATGGAAAAATCACTCGGTTCCTTGAGTCGGATGGAATGAGTGGTAGTGGCGCATTAAAGACTTCCTATTCTATCCCAGCATGTTTGATGTGTATCTATACGAAAATTTAAATGTCAGGTTATGTCTGTATCATAAACGATATAATCATAAATCATAACTCAAAGGAGGCCAAGTGCCAAATATTTAATCATTTATTAAATTTTACAGGTTGGGACTTAAGATATTGATAAGATATTTATCTTATATTGCAATTAGAAATAATTTCTCGAAAAACGTCATTTCGATGTCGAAAATAAAAGTCGAAAGTTTTCAAAATTTCTATTGATTTCGATGGATTTTTGGCTCTAATTTCGATAAGTAAATTCGACAAGTAGTGTTAAGGCACTATAAACGTGAGTATTTGCATATCCGCCATTTTTAAATAATAATCGCTCCTTTCCTGGTGTTGACATCAACACCATCTAGTGACAAAAAACCGCGGATACTTTTTAGATGACCCAATATATTAACGAAGGCAAAAAAATTTATAAAATGCCTTGTTGCGTTGCGGTAAACTATATCAATACATCAGAAAAAGATATTCGATTATTTAAATTTCTTGCGAATAATATTCGTCGATAACTTGCTGCATTGCTGTAAAATAAATACATGACTCATCGAATGAAGTTGTCGCAAGTCGGCTGTCGTTGTCGGAATAGAAGATGGTCAATTTCCATCTTTCCGACTACGATTAGATGAAACATAACTTTCGGATACATTTGTGTATGGATAAACAGATATTTTTATACGGATATATGGATATATTTATATTATATTATGGAATCACTGAATCCGAATAAACAAGAATGGATTAAAATAAATTGAAATGTTTTTCTATTCAAATGCGTTTTAAACAGCGAATATTTTTTTGGATTTAATTGGATTCAATTGGATTTAATTAGATTTAATTAGATGCAATTGGATTGAAAAACTGCATTTCCTATTCAAAATTTTGAATTGATCAGTATTCATGCACAAAAAATTAATATTATTTTTAGATTGAAAGGCATATAGATATGCTCCATGCAATACCTATAAATGAATAAAAATGCATTCAGGGTTGAAAAATATTCATTTTAACATTCGTGAATCAATATTTCTGAAAATCTGAATCCATTTCAATTCATTTCAATCCATTCTCGTTTGCTAGGATGTAAATGAAATAATTATTGATTTTATTCGCGAAAATCATTGCTTGTGTGATAAACGCGATGTGAATTTTAAAAATGTTAGCAAAAAAAGAAATGTGTCAAAAATATCTACAAATTTGAGAAATTGTTATGATATAAATGTCAGGTAATTTTTTATTTGTTAAATTATTATTATTTAATATAAAAATATATTATTTAATATAAAAATATTTTGTAATTTAATTCTTTTGTATCAAACTTAAGAAATACCTATAAGAGCTGACACTGGATGAATTCATGTATATAAATTTATTCAAGTTTAATAACTTGAATAATATATATTAATCATCATTTTGATCTTTTTCAATATTATAAAACTAATTAAATCAATACATAATAGTCGTCAAGTGGAGTCGCATTATTCTACAATTACATGTGTTGTCCATATGTGGTTGTGTAAAATTTGTTTCAAGTCCGAGTATACAAGTACCAGTATACATTTCCAGATTAAATAAGCATTTGTAACGCTGCGTTTAGTAATATTGACAAATTGCTCGCTCGATGTCATTTTAATGACAATCTGTCAATATTATCATGAACAAGAAAGCTAAAAATAAATTTAAATTTGTAATAAATTTCATATCTTTGAAAACAAATAAAATATAAGTAAATTGTATTAACAATATTCATAATAGAGGATAATGAATAAACTAACCTCAATGTGGCTGCAAGACGTATCTCTGTTGGCAAAGGTTTTTCTATGACTATTTTTCTGTAATTTTGGCTTTAGTAAATCATGTAAATAATCAAATTGTGTTACTGACTTATAAGTTTAAAAAATTCATGATCATTCATTTGAAAGTATATAAATAATGCGTGATGAGCATCAAAATTCTGTCTCATATTTGTGATATGAGGTTTTATCCACCATCTTCTTGTACTTTTCTTTTTACGTTTCTTTAAAAGTAAACTTATTTTCATAATTTGCGTCCAAATTAATAATAAATTTGAATATATATTCAACGTTTCAATATTCATTCTTTACATTTGTTCCGACTTTCCGAAAAAATACGACTACAACGAATACGACGAAGTCATGTGCGACATACAACATACGACAAACGACTAGCGACAGCCGACATCGACATACGATTGATTGTAGAACGGGCCTAATGGATGTATAGTTATAACATATCTGTTCTGATGTTATGAAAGAGGCGGACACATAAAAAAAATATAATTAATGTTAAATATAGTAATAAATAACAATAAATAAAGGGCAAAGAAAGAGTCAAATACATTTTAAATTGTAACACAATTAAATAGAATATATTAAGGAAATAAAGGAAAATAAAAATAAAAAACAGTTTAAAATTCAAATATAAAACATTACAAGTTTCGGCTACCGGATTGAGCCCTCTTTAGACATTTACATTTCACAAAAATCGCTGTACAAAATTAGTTCTTGAAAATGCCCGCATATTCCTTAAATTAATAGTTCAAATGAGTCTTGATGTACAATTCGACATTATTCGCGTACTATTGAACAATCAAATGTGTTTCATATCTCTTGGAAAAAAATCAAAAGTCATGTGTAAATTATTCAAACAAGTACGTCCATATACAGGTAAGTACCAAATCCAATCAAAATGTATACAGTTTAGTGGAACATAGTTATGTAAGACAAACATAGTGTATCGATTACAATGTACTCTCGCTGATACGGATTAATACGAATCAATTAAATGTAGTAGTAATGTACAAATGATGATACTTATGATAATAACTTGTTTTTAATAATACTGTAAAATATTATTTTTATTAGCTGAAATAATACTAATTGCTCTAAATGATATATATATATATACAATATATATATATCATATATATATATATACAATATATATATATATATCATATATATATATATACAATATATATATATCATATATATATATATACAATATATATATATATACAATATATATATATCATATATATATATACTATATATATATATTACATATATATATATATATCATATATATATATACTATATATATATATTACATATATATATATACTATATATATATATTACATATATATATATATATTACATATATATATATATACAATATATATATATATATTGTATATATATATGTATCATATATATATATACTATATATATATATTACATATATATATATACTATATATATATATTACATATATATATATATACAATATATATATATCATATATATATATATACAATATATATATATCATATATATATATATATACAATATATATATATCATATATATATATACTATATATATATATTACATATATATATATATATACAATATATATATATCATATATATATATATATTACATATATATATATACTATATATATATATTACATATATATATATATACAATATATATATATATACAATATATATATATCATATATATATATACTATATATATATATTACATATATATATATATACAATATATATATATATATGTATTTTTTACTCTAATAAATTTTTTATACCAAATACAATATAATTACTGGAAGTAGTTCTATGTTACGTCATATATCGTTAAATATACTACTACTGTAATAAGTAATAGTGACACTAGTAGTATTTTTATACTTTCAAATGATATTGGAAACTTGTATATAGATCAACATTTAAATTTCATTAATTTAAAAATTGAGGTCGTTTCGATATCGATTCGAGCTAGATTAGTTTAGCTAGACTTTGATAGAGTCAATGATATTTTTCCTTGATTTCGTGCTCATTTATAATAAGAGACAGTTAATAGATTATTCCCTAAAATTCCTCAATAAAAGTGACGTATTAAGATTATATTGGGTCACTAAAAAGTATCCGCGGTTTTTTGTCACTAGATGTGTGTTGATGGTCATATATCTAGTGACAAAGTACCGCGGATACTTTTTAGATGACCCAATATTAAATAAACTACGAAGTACAAATAAAAGTAATGTTATTTAACGGGAGTAGAACAATAAAATAAGATACAAAGAATTACTAGAAGAAAAGATGTAAACTTTATTGACAGTTGTAAAAAATGTTTCGATTCATAAAAAAATTCCACAATTTTCTAAAAAATTATAAAATTATTTATAAATTCTGAAAAATTTTGAGAAAGCTTTTATGATTAGAGCGATATTGCAATTATCGAAATGAAATCGAAAATGTCCTTTCGATCTTTGAACGAAAATATTCAAAATATAAGATCACGTATCACATATTTATACCAAAAATATTAAAAATATATCAAATTCCTTGCACTCTCTACATATGTAATTTTTATCACTCGAAAATGTTGAAATTTCGATGCAAGAATCGACTTTTCCATCGTAACGACGTCGAAACGACGTCTTTTCTGACTTCTGAGAAACTATTTCTAACTGAGATCTTTTATTATTATTGTATTGTATATATTGGGTCATCTAAAAAGTATCCGCGGTACTTTGTCACTAGATATATGACCATCAATACACATCTAGTGACAAAAAACCGTGGATACTTTTATCCACTATGGACCCAATATTTTAGTTATATATTGGATCATCTAAAAAGTATCCGCGGTACTTTGTCACTAGATATATGACCATCAATACACATCTAGTGACAAAAAACCGCGGATACTTTTTAAATGACCCAATATATTTGAACATGTTTTAGTTTTGAAAATGACAAGTTGCTGTGCGGATTATTGCACAAATTCCTCAAAAAAAAAAAGATTTCGTATGTGCCGAATCCCGAGAGGGGAGAGGAGAAAAGTTTGGTTGAAGCACATTAATTGTGAAGATTTGGATATTGAAAATTGTGAAAATATGCATTTATGTCATGTAAGTAAAAATAATTACGTGTAATGATTAGATAAGTACCTTAATAAGAAAGGAGTGATTCCGGTTACACAAATCGATAAATAAATAAGTTTAATATTGAATCAACATATTTCCAATCAATTTAAGTCCATTTGTTAGATTTTAATTAATATCAGTAATACAAAATTCAATAATTTAAAATATTTAAAATACATCAATTGGTATTGTTTAAAAATACATTTCAATATATTTGAAAACTATTGAATATGATATATTGATATCGATTAAAATCTACATTTTAATTGATACCAATTGATATGAAATCGATAGATATTAAGATTTACTTGAGAATATTGAAAATATCAATTGGAGTCAATCTCTTATTGTACAAGAGTGTTTGAGTGATATGTAAAACATTAATTCATTTTATTTCATAGGTCCATTTTTCTCCTGATATGTGGGAAATATACTCAGATGGTAAACCAAGTTTGTTTTGAAAGCAAATGCTGTACCTACAATTTTCAAACATATGCTTTGGCTGCAACAGGTGCATATAATGAAACATTTCAGAATAAAAATTGTGAATATTTGAATGTGATACAAGCAGATGTACTAATGTGTGTGTGTTGACATTATTTATTAATAATTAAAAATTTTGTTAAAAGTTTTAGGAACTCGAAAAAGTCTTTCTTTAATTATGTTACTTTTTACTTAATCACATGTAAGAATTTGGAGAAATTCTATCATAATTGTTTGTTCATTTATTACAACTTCTGATTGATATTTATTTTATTAATGCATTTATAGACATTTCTACAATAATAACTTGAAAAGACATTTATTCATTTTATTAAGTATATCAGAAATTAAATACAATATCTAAAATTGCACATTAAATTCGTGTATCAAGATATTATAGTAAATGTTAATATTTATAATAAATAGGTGTATCTGAAACTTTCCTGGGAGCTGAAGGTGCATCACAATCGGGTCATGAAATGAATTTTAAGATGATTGAAGTCAGCAATGACATACATGATGCAACAGGTATGTGTAATGAAACTGATTATGATGATTGCAAAAATAATGATTTACAAATGATAAAATAATAAAATAGGATGTAATAATGATTATGTGTTAACATTCATAAAATCAATAAGAAGTAGATTGTAAAAAGAAGTTATTTATAAATGCTGTCATATTTTTAAGTTTACTACTTCATCGCATGTCAGAAAGACCTTTATCATTTATATTTTGAATCAATATCAATATTTTTATCAATATCAAAATTTGTTAAGTTATATTATATTTAGTAATATTGTATCAATAATTGCAAATCTTTATGAAGGACAGTAGCACTTAAAATTTGTTATCATATGTACAAAATGTGCATTGATAAATTATAATAAATTATCTTGTTTATTAGTGACAGATACAATTGAAGACTCCCAAGAACCTGTATTAAATTCGGATAATGAAAACACATTAAGCAGGACTACGACATATTTAACGTTTGGTCGTTGCAACTGCACTACATCACAGAATTTGAAGAAGCTGCTAAAAAGAAGTGAACAGTTGAGGGTTAAAATGAAAAAAAAGTTTGTAACTATGAAGAAGGAACTGAAGCATTTAAAAAATGAAGTGCGTTTTAATAAAGATCTGTCAAAAATTTTTGATAAAAATCAGATGAAATTGCTTCTTTATGACTATAAAAGAATGCCATTGGTCTAACGAACTCTAGTAAAAGCTTATTCACTAAAGTTTGAATGTGATACGACGGGGTACATCGAACAATATTTTTTAATGCATGCGAACAAAAATATAATTTGTGATTTGCATCGCAAATATATTGGCAATAATGATTAATTTGTATTCGCGATATTTTTATGCTGAATTCTTTCCACATTGACTGATTGTTAGTACTCATATCTAAAATAACAGTTTGAACTGATAAGCCAATATTTTCCTTTACCAAGTATTAGAACTTTAAGGAGAAAATTGGAAAATTTTAAATTTAATAGTGGGATAAGTAAGGAAATTTTTTTATTTTTAAAGATTAAAGTTTCTCAATTAAAAAACCAAAGATAAATATTGTGTGTTAGTGCTGGATGAAATGTCTATTACTCCGAGAAAATTTTACGACCATAATTCCGATACTGAGTATGAACATGTCATTATATCAGAGAAAAAATAAAAGAATACTGTAACTCATGCATTGTGTTTCATGTTAGCTGGGTTGGCTAGTAGATGGAAGCAGACAGTGGCATATTATTTTATAGGAACGAGGATCCCAGAAGATGTTTTGAAATTAATAATAACCAAAATTATTTCAAAATATTGGCTTATCAGTTCAAAGTACCACATGGTTTATTTCAGTTGTACGGCAATGGTTTGATTTAATGTCTAACCGAAAATTATCATTGGCTTTAAGTAAATTAAAAAATGAAAAGTTCAAAGAAGTTATAGATTTTCTTAACGAAGTAATAATATTATTTAGAGACTTAACTGTAGCAGATAAAGGTCATTGGAAACCAACGTTCCAAAGTGCTGTAATTTTATTCATGACTGTAATTAATTTATCACAATATCTTTTAAATGATTGTGACTTTCTATTTCTTTTAACATCGCGTTTAACTCAAGATTGTCTAGAAAATCTATTTTCTGCTGTCAGAAGAAAAAACGTAACTCTAAATGCTGTTCAATTTAAGAATAATTTAAAATTAATTACTATTCCTCAATATATGAAAGATATTAAAAACAGTAGTTACCAAAAAGATGACCGAGAGTATCTTTCAGAATTTTTAAATGTCATACAAAACCATACTTCTAGTACTCACGATACAATCCGACCAGCAATTCGCACAAAGATTTACAATTACTGCAAAATACGCATTATTACTTTAAACAATATAGATATAAACTATAAATTCTACTATATAACTGGTTATTTTATAATGAATATCGAATCTTCAAAAACGATAATGCTTGCAAAGCATGTATATTTGCAACAGGAAATAAAAATGTAAATTTATATATAGTACATTTTATTAACGCGCATTAGAGCTCGTCAAAATAATATCTTATTTTTTATTAATGCAATAACATTACGTTTTTTCATTCAAATCGAGACAAATATATGAACAATCACAAAGAAAGCGTCAACTTAAAGAAACTTTTTATGGAAATCTGTCAAGATATACTATTCACTCTTCCATCTTGTCACAATTTGAAAACTAAAATTATTTTACGATACTATACATTACGTATGAGATTATCATCTAAAAAAATGCGACAAAAAATATAACTTATTCTAAGAGCATGGCAATGCATCATTGTGTGTTGTGATTTAAACATTTTAATTTATGATAAATGTTTATTTTTAATAGTTTTTATAAAATTTATAATAATTTTTATTTGAAAATTTATATAAATTTATAATAAATTTGTTTTTAATATATATTCTTTGTGTTTTCCTTTTTTATTTTTTCTTTAATTACAATCTTAGTCATTAAGAGGAAGAAACTAAATTATGTATTGTGTTTCAAGTGATATAATCATCACTTAGGAATAATTTCATTAATATCGATTAGAAGAAATTGAATAAAACACGGGCACTAGAAGTCAGGTGCAGAAGACGTCGCGCAAATAATACACATACAAAGCATAAAACTTCTTTATTTTACCAAAACGCGCTTATATGTTTCGGCTCACTTTGGAGCCTTCCTCAGAGACAACAAAAACTGACATATAAAAGTTATCCTGTCATGGTGAGTTCCCTTACCTCGAGAATTTAAATGCCAGAAATTAAACTCAAAAAGAGTGAAAGAAAAAGAAAAAGAAAAATGAAAAAAGCAAGGAAATATTGGTTAAGGTAATATCGATTAATTTAATAATTTTCAAATAATTTTCTTATTTAATATATTGAATAAGGTAACATTTCTTATTTTATTTAATATATTGAAAAAACTTATTATTATTGACGTACGAAGATTTTAAATTTGGACCACATTAATTATTGTATTAGGTGTTGGAATTAATTCGTAGCGTTTTACAAGTGATGGGAAGTACTTTCATTAATGTATTTTTTAATGCTCATGTGAAATAAATAACATTCTTTCATTAAAAACGCTACGAATTAATTCCAACACCTAATAATTTTATATCACTGTGACTCTCTACATTAGCATACTTTACAATATACATTTTTCGATTGCGTCAATTTGCTTCTGAAGATGATCAAAATATCTAATTTGTTAATAAAGTACATTTTTTACACATGTATGTATAACCTGTCGGCTTGTATATTGGCGTGATTCTAATTATTTTTATTATTATAAACATATTGAACTATTCCTTATTCTCTATTTCCTATTTCCTACTTCAGCTATTAATTCCTTTTATTGTGTCTTGAAATTCCTTTTATTATGTTTGAGCCTTAATATTTGCAATTGCTAGATCTTAAATTATCGCAATTATTCTCATTTGTACACACTTTTTAAAAATTGTAATTGAATAATACAAGATTTATAAGAAGAATTTAATAATAAAGAGAATTAATTGCAGCATAAACAAACTAATCTTGTATAAATTTTCGGAAAAATAAATTTAGTTGTTTTTCATACTAAAACATTAGGTAATTTTCATTTGTGACGTCATAACTCAGTTGAATGCACATTCCTTTTTCATTCTGGCAATTCAACTGAGTTTTTGTCAACAATTGCACAAACTCGAGACCGTGTGTTTTACCAAGTCTTCTTAACTCACATTAAATATAAGGTTAGAAATCTGTGTTATTATGCGATAAGTTTTCATCAAAATAAACAAGTAGTAAAGTCATTATTTGAATATAAAATATTCATATCACTTCAGATTTAGTATCACTGTGTGTAAATGGAAAGCAACTTTTGTATTTGAATTTAATATGTTTTGCACGTTTTGTCAATTTTGTCTATTTTATCCACAATTCTATATTTACGAAAAACGAACTTTTTCTATTAATTATTCATTATTATTCATTAACTTTGATATAACAAAGTTATAACAAACAAATAGTGATGTATCGAAATTGGCGTTGATATATTGGCGCGCATCTCCAATTTTCCAATCACGTGATTTTCGATTTCATAACATCATGTCGAACTTTGGTCGATTTCTCCTTTTAGTATTTCTAGCTCCATCCACTCACCCAATCACACGCAAATTACGTTTACCCTCTTATCCACTTCATACCTAATAACGCGGACCTCAATGGCCCAATAACAGTCCGATGACTTCCGGGCCAATCAACAAGAAGAAGAGAGGGTCTTCTACATAGAAGTCGAAGACGGTCGTGAAGTATTGTACAATATTAACTCGTAGGAAACTAACCAATCAAATATAAGAATACTTGATTAGAATTGTCAGTTTCCTACGACTCCACGATCGTCTACGACTTCTAAGGTGCTTTCCATTTGATGCTACAAATCGACACAAGTTAATACAAATGTCGTTCTATCTTTGTCACTCTCTGAATGTCAACAAAGATAGAATGACGCTAGTGTCGACATGTGTCATCAAATGGAAAGTACTCTATGTAGAGGACCTTGAAAAAGTCCCTTGATTCTCTGATACACGCAGATGATATTTCCGAACGCAACCCATGCGATGTGAATAATGGAATATTGCCGAATGGAATATTGTAAACGACGCATTACATAAAAATCGTGTTACAGTGTTTTTTTTCTAAATTGTCAATAATTGTCATGTAAAAAATGCCATGTAGTGTAAAAAAATGCGTAAGCAATCTTAAATCAAAAAATAAAGTACATTCTTTCCGGTAAGTAATATTGTAAAGACAGGTTAGATCTCAGCAAACCAATTAACAGTTATAACAGTTATAAGAACCCCGCTCATTTTCATAAGGATTTTGAATTCGCATTTAGTCATTAACTATATATATTTTTATAGATAATAATGGTTTAAGAAGAAATAGTTCAGATCATCAATCTCCAGCCGAAAGTAGTTCTGACTTCCCAATGATGCAATATTATTAATTTGTTAGCTTATCATCAGAACTATCCAACGCGACAAATATGTCATGTACTCAAAAGGTATTAATTCATATGTCATTAGGAAGATATTTAGTCTAAATACTAAATGATCAACATATAATAAGGATAAAGCAGCAGTACGAAAATATCACCATTCTACATGAGCAATAGTATTCTTTAATAACATCTTTTCCTTCATTATTATGTTCTGCTACAATCTTGTAGACATAGTATCATGTCTTATTAACACATTTGTACTGTATTCGAGCTTTAAGAATTATCAATATCAATATGATAATAATTAGGAAGAACAGTTTCTACATTACGGCTGAGTTCTATTCTGTATCATCCAGCCTAGAAAGTAGTTCAGTATTGCTCATCTTGGATGTCTTGATTTTATTATTTATGCTTACATGGTATATACTTCTGAACATATCAATAACATATTTATCGTATTGGACAGCTTTGATAAGCCAACAAATGAATAAAATCATATCATTAAGAGATCAGAATTACTTTTGATAGGGATTTGAGAATCTAAACTTTTTTTAAATGCTATTGTTATCTACAAAGAATATATAATGATAAAACAGGCTCTGTATTTAAAGTAATAATAATAAATAAATTTCAAGGCTAATGAGAATCAATGCAGAAGGAATTGTGCACAGTTATCAATAAGTAAAATTACTTCATAACATTCAA